TTCGTCGTTAAGGAATCGATTTTTTAGATTAATATAAATTCTAAAACAAAGGATTGGTTCGGTGAATTGATCAAAAAATCACCCGTCAAATGCCACAACCGTACTGCCCCCCCCCCCCTCCACCTCCGTCTTCGTGGCTGTGTCTAAAGTAACCCCACATTAAAATAATACTAGTTTTTACGGAATTTATCGCGTATATTTAACTTTTTAAATACCAGACGTTTCGAACGCTTTACAGCACTTATGGTCACGGGCGAGACCGAGATGTTCAACGTCCATATATGTCATAGTTAACCGCGGTTACCATAGATTAAAATTTAACTTTTGTTCCGATCTATACAGTATGAACTTATGGTATCTTGTAGTCTTGCAGTTGTATGCTTGAGTTGGGATTTAATTTTATTTATTATAGGATCCCAAGCAGATGGTAGCACCCAGCCATCTTCTCTATTGAAATTAGGATGGTTTTTGTTTTCAATAGCCTCGCGAATCATCCTTGGAAGGAATCGGTGTTCTTTAGCGAGGATTTGCGGTCTATCAAATCTGATGTAGTGACGGGGGCGATCCTGTACGTGTTCACAGACTGCAGACTTCCCGTAGCGTCGATTCTTCACATCAGCTATATGTTCTTTAACGCGGGTTTTTATTGATCTTTTAGTTTGTCCCATGTAGGAGAGACCACATTCACAATCAAGCTTGTACACTCCTGCATCTTGCAGAGGGACATTACACTTGACTGATGGTAAAAGCTGACCAATCTTCTTCAGCGGCTTGAAGTATGTTTTGATGGAAGCGCGCTTCAAGATGTAGCCAATCTTGTCAGTGACTCCTCTAACATATGGCAGTACAGCGGGTACACGCTCGACTGTGGCCGGCTTCACTCGTTCACTGTGACGTAGGCGCGGGACTCGAAGCTTGTTGTCATGCAAAACTTGCTTGACATGGTGGAGCTCGGCAGCCAGGTGTTTACTGTCACAGATCCCTCGTGCTCTCTGAAACAAAGATTTACCCACGGTAGCTAACTGTGAAGGATGGTGGTGAGAATCACCGTTTAAATATCTATCTGTATGGGTCTTTTTTCTATACACAGTATGGCTCAAGGTGTTATCAGGATTCCGAATTACTAACACATCTAGAAAAGCTAAGGAATTGTTTGCCTCTAACTCCATTGTGAACTCAATTTTAGAATTTATAGAGTTAAGATGGTCTAAAAATGCAGTTACTTTATCTAAAGGTAGAATTGAGAAAGTGTCGTCTACGTACCGCTTGTAGAATCTCGGATTTATGGGAGAACTAAGCAGGGCTTTCTCCTCAAAGTCTTCCATGAATATGTCGGCGAAAATAGGAGATACAGGTGAGCCCATCGCCACACCATCTACTTGCTTGTAGAACTCCTCCTTCCACAATAGGTAGCCAGATGTAAGGCAGTGTCTGAGTAATACTGCATATTCTACGGGCATGTTGTTTTCTTCCAGCCTTCTAGTTACAATTGAGATGCAGTCTTCAACAGGTAAGCATGTAAACAATGACTGCACATCAAAACTGACCATAGTTTCATTGTCTGCCAGATGTAGGTCTTTAATCTCGCTGACAAAAACTTCTCAGTTCTACCTTTAGATAAAGTAACTGCATTTTTAGACCATCTTAACTCTATAAATTCTAAAATTCAGTTCACAATGGAGTTAGAGGCAAACAATTCCTTAGCTTTTCTAGATGTGTTAGTAATTCGGAATCCTGATAACACCTTGAGCCATACTGTGTACAGAAAAAAGACCCATACAGATAGATATTTAAACGGTGATTCTCACCACCATCCTTCACAGTTAGCTACCGTGGGTAAATCTTTGTTTCAGAGAGCACGAGGGATCTGTGACAGTAAACACCTGGCTGCCGAGCTCCACGATGTCAAGCAAGTTTTGCATGACAACAAGCTTCGAGTCCCGCGCCTACGTCACAGTGAACGAGTGAAGCCGGCCACAGTCGAGCGTGTACCTGCTGTACTGCCATATGTTAGAGGAGTCACTGACAAGATTGGCTACATCTTGAAGCGCGCTTCCATCAAAACATACTTCAAGCCGCTGAAGAAGATTGGTCAGCTTTTACCATCAGTCAAGTGTAATGTCCCACTGCAAGATGCAGGAGTGTACAAGCTTGATTGTGAATGTGGTCTCTCCTACATGGGACAAACTAAAAGATCAATAAAAACCCGCGTTAAAGAACATATAGCTGATGTGAAGAATCGACGCTCCGGGAAGTCTGCAGTCTGTGAACACGTACAGGATCGCCCCCGTCACTACATCAGATTTGATAGACCGCAAATCCTCGCTAAAGAACACCGATTCCTTCCAAGGATGATTCGCGAGGCTATTGAAATCAAAAAACATCCTAATTTCACTAGAGAAGATTGCTTGGTGCTACCATCTGCTTGGGATCCTATAATAAATAAAATTAAATCCCAACCCAAGCATACAACTGCAAGACTTCAAGATACCATAAGTTCATACTGTATAGATCAGAACAAAAGTTAAATTTTAATCTATGGTAACCGCGGTTAACTATGACATATGGACGTTGAACATCTCAGTCCCGCCCGTGACCATGAGTGCTGTAAAGCGTTCGAAACGTCGGGTATTTAAAAAGTTAAATATACGCGATAAATTACGTAAAAACTAGTAATATTTCAATGTGTAGTGTTCGCGTAAATATAAGAAACCCCACATTAAGTTTTATATTTTACGCTTGATATTTTGAAAAATTCTTTTATTTCGGTATAACAATTTGGATGAAATGTATTTAGATTCCTTGAGAAACCTATATATTTTTTCTAATACCAAGTTAAGCTCTGTCGCCGAGGTACCTACTGTTAATAAATATGTCTAAATAAGAGAAAAACATAGGCCTTCTTTTAAGAAATTTTTGTCAGCAATTCTCTCCATGGCCATAAATGAATTCCGTTCAGTAGTTTTTGCGAACTAAAATGGGATGACCATAATATATACTTACATGGCATTGTCAGGAAGGCAAATAGTATTCTGAATGCAATCAGGCGATGTAACATGACTAAGCTAGCTGACTCTCAATATAACTATAAATAATATGTGATATAGTAGATGCTGTTGTTAACTGTAGATGGCGCCACTTTATTTTTTTAGCTTAATATTTTTTTATAGGATAAGGGTCACAAGTTCTTTGCCGTTCTTTAACTGCGAAATTCCGACTTCAGGGGAGATCAGGCTCTCAGGGCCTATCAGGGGAGATCTTATTGAGACCCACAAAATACTGACCAACAAATGGAAACCCAAAAATATACTATAAATGTAGATATACTGTGACTTTATACAGGTTTATTTTTCAAAGAGTAACCAAATTTTAAATAAGACTTCTACTTTAATTTGAAATTATCCGAAATTGAATGTGACTTATGGACGGACAACAACCTTTTTGACTGATCAAGGGTCGATCGAACGAATGTGTGCGCAATAAAATCAGTTAAAATAATGCATTACCACACATTTTTAATTTAAAAAATAAAAAGGACAGAATGTTAGAGATTTTTTAAATTTTTTTCACCATTTGCCTATATTACTTATTCTGCACTTTATCTACAAATTTGGCCTGTTATTGCAAAGTAGTCCTGTATAATATAAATATACTGACATAATTTTAACTACGCAGTAATATTTGACAAAACGCACTAAACAACAAAGTTATAAGTGGAACAAATTGTGTCAAGACATGATTGATGCTCCTTCTGTAAATAGTTTAAAAAACTGTTGGACAAATGGTGCAACGACAATTCAATGTGGTGTTTTCTTAGTTTGGACTTGAAACTATTATTAAACACCAACATAGATGTAGATATATCAGCATTAAACTACTCGCCTACCAATACATAATAAAATAAATAGTAATAAAAATCGTACTCATACTCATATTCATCACTACTTAATGATAATGAAAAATTAATATTTTTGATTTGATTTCAGTATCCTTATACCATGTATGTATACACTTATGGGAACACCCATATCATCCCCTGCGTGTGAGGCAACTGAGGGAAGAATTTTCCTAATAACAACTAAAAATAATAAAAACTGCGTATACCAATCCGTCTGTCAAGCGTCGCCACTATGCCAATAATACCTATTTACAGCAGTGGATTTCTGTTGTCTTCTGTAATCGTATTAATCCCCTCATATACATGTTTTTTTTCTCCCAGAAAACAAAATAATAGCGAAAACTTTCAGTATGTACGGGTAAAGAATAGGATTAGAAATGGCGACTGGTCGAGTATGTACCGTCAACATGCACAGTAGTAATAGCGTAAGCCCGCTAATAACAGTGTATCGTTATATTATTCGGTTAATTGGAAAATTTATATTAATGGGAAAATACTTGAAAAGAATTTTACACGCAAGTAGGTACATTAATTTTAAAATAACATTTAAATCACGATGAGATAATCATTAAAGATCTTTTTTATCTTGTCCAATATTTATCTATAAATTCCAATATGTCCAAGTCAAGTCCAATATTTGTCTATAAATTTTTCGGTCTCTCTATTTTTTATGGCACTCTATTTGGTCGAGAAGTTTCATTACAGGTACAGGTTCATCCATACAGAAGATTAGCTCTGACAGACAGAAAAACAAAAGTTTTGAGCTTGTAAATATTTTATAAAAAATATTAACAAACAAAATCAACAGTTGTAGTTCACAAATTAGCGAAACCGGACTGAAGTTTTTGTACTTTATAGCATATTGTTATGATTGATTTGAAATTGTACTGAAGTTATAGAACGTACGAAAAACGAATATCGCAACGTAATTTTTTTGTAATCTTTACCGGTGGGTGTGAATATAGATAGCGAGAGTGTGCGAGCCAGAGGTGAATAGAGCTGACGCCATTTTCAATCCCATTCTTTAACTGCACGGGTAGTTATTATAGATTACTATGACATTTTTTTATATTTAATTTAAACGGTGTTTTTTCCTTTACAGAAACCAAGCCGAAATGGCACATGCATGTCGTGGAACAATATCATTGCTAGGTGCATTGATACACACACCTGATTCTTGCACATTTGTCATCAGTAATGGTGACACACAAACATTCCACATCCGGGCACATGATGAAGTTGAAAGACAGAGCTGGGTAACTGCATTGGAACTCGCCAAGGCAAAAGCTATGTTAGTGTTATTTAGTCACCACTAGTTTTGGAATAATTTTGTAACAACAGAATATATAAGTAGTAGTGTTCTGTTTATGAACTACACTAAATCATATTGATGTATTTGACTTCATATAGTTAATTTACTGTTTGATTATTTACCATAAGTGTCTAGGTAGTTAATCATTATTAATAATTTTATATCCACTGCTAGACATGTCTTTCTGACAAAATATGCTCATGCACATCATGCTACATATGATGCGCACATTGTAATGATGATACGATTCCGTCATCAGTCACCGGGATGTCAACTATCAGCAAGGTGTACCGCAAGCAGGTGACTTTTGCACTTGGAGAATAATTTGACATAATTCCATAGCAACAGTTTATATCACCTTAACAATATGCCGTAGTCTACATAAACCATTCGGCAGGTTGTAGTGCAGTGTAGTGTATAATCGAATACCTTTTCATCATCCACATACGCTGTTATGTTAGGCATATGTGGACGATGAAAAGGTATTCGATTCAGTGAAATTTGGGCTTTACAGTCCCATCAGCGGTGCCAAATTAACACTCGGTATATTGAGGTGCTGAAGTGCTTGCATAGTAATGCTACAATGTCTATCCTCCGTGAAAAATGTAACTACTGAGAGGTGTAATACAGGTTGATGTTATTTCCCCAAAAACCCTTCACCGCTGCATTAAAAGGCATTTTTAAGCTACTTGACTGGAAAAGATACGGTATTTGCTACAATGGTGATACATAACTTACCTTCGATTTGCCAACGATATAGTCATTATGAAATATATAATAATATTTTTGCTTAATTAAAAATTTTAACTTTCTGATAGATAGGACGTGCATATTTTCTGAGACTTTGTTGTTAATTCATTAACTTAATTCTGCAGTTGTTTCACTTAGAAAGAGGTGAAATATTAAGTTCTTGAAGTGGTGTGAAAAAGATGAAACTGGAGTTTAAACTTAGTAAATGTTAGTGTATAGTCTTTTACATTATATTTATACTTGTTAAAAGTAAAATAGAGTAACAGTCTACGTAATGTATGTTCCATAGGATAGGCCTTCTATAATTTCAGAGATTTTAGAGTGGGAAATAGTTCTCCATGTTATATTAATGCATGTTGGCGGATTTCACATGTTCTTGAAATTTTACGTTAATTTCTCAGACTTACAGGTTTTTTCATGATATTTTACTTCGTCGATAAGAAGGTGAGACAACAAACCTATAAATAAAAAAAATAATATAATTGCAATTAAAAATATCTAAAGTTCCTGATCGATCTCGGTTTGCTTGTGTATGATATTTTACTCCATTATCCCTTAAGCAACCGCAGATAATTTAGCTGAACAGTTGTTACGCATGTTTATGGTAGCTCAGGGATTGAGTGCTCGCTATAATTTTACAACACTTTACGCAGTTATGATCAACATATTAAAGTGAAGAAAAACAACGTGAAGAAACCTACATGTGTGAGGAATAAAAATATTTCGCAGACATTTGAATGTATAGTCCGAAAACACGCACTGGGGCAGTGCACTAATTCAGCGAACTAATTGCTTCAGTAGTAGGACGTATGTAGAATGTAAGTTTGCTATTCTAAATATTTTTCTAAAATATTTTATTGCAAATAGTCGGGCTCAAGAATCCGATGACGATGAAGACCAAATGTCTGGGCAAATAACAATTGGTGGAGGCGAAGGGGAAACAGAGGATGCTGGTGGTATAGCAAGGGAATTGGCGGCCCGATTTCACGACTTGAGAACTTGTTCAGAACTTGTGGCAAGACATGGTGCTGCTCTCCAGCGATCTCTTGTTGATTTGGAAGTTCCCCCATCTGATACAACAAAACAAGTTTCTGAGAGGGCTACACTTTTCAGAATATCTTGCAATGCAATGATGAATGTAAGTAATTTACTTTTTTATGATAACAAAATTTTACTATCACGTTCATACTATAACTTTGTTATTGTTGGTAAAAATCTATATACATAAATAAAATTGAAGTGTCTAATTGTAATATCGAAACAACTGTCTTCTATTCAGCTCAGTGGGTTATATCGTAGAATACTATAATCCACAATAGAATGGCTGTCAACTTTATTTTATACGAGGATTAGGTTGCCAAACCTGATTCGCTGTGTTGACAGACTGAGTAAATTTACACATTTTAGACTTTTGAATAATGTTTAAGATCGTCATTAAATTTTGATACATATATATTTATAAATAGGGTGCAATTTGGCATTTTCTATATAATTTGCATGCGAAATTTGAAAACCATTGTAACGTCAAAACACATCTCGTGTTGACATTTATACGTGTGAATTGACGTTTTAGTGGCTATGCGGGCTCCGCCCACTCCCCCGTTCTATTATGTATGTATTATAGTATTCTATGGATTATATGCATGATATTTAGACATGAATAAATTATAATACATAAATTTTTGACTGGCCTGTGTTATCTTCAGAATAGCCGCACTGATTATGAGTAAACTTCAAGAACGGATAAAGTGATCAAAATTAATGGTTTTTAATGATTATCCCTTAAACCAAGTTTAAGAGATATACAAAAAAATTCCGGACAAAAAAGGTGACCTCACAATTTATCTTCTATCTCTTGAAGTTTGATGCAACTTTGATGGTTCTAAACCTTTTTATTGCAACACCATTTAGTAACAGCTAATAAGAAGACCTTTTATAACTAAAATTAATAGGTCTTTAATTTTTGATCTGAGACGTGGTCCTTCACTGCTGGCCATATGAGGACGCTCAAGGTCGCTCAGCGAGCTATGGAGAGGGCTATGCTTGGAGTTTCTCTGCGTGATAGACTCAGAAATGAGAATATCCGCAGTAAAACCAGAGTGACCGACATAGCCCAACGGATATTAGTAAGCTGAAGTGGCAATGGGCCGGCCATATAGCTCGAAGAACCGATAACTATGGGGAAGAAAGGTTCTCGAGTGGCAGCCTCGTACCGGTAGGCGTAGTGTAAGGCGACCCCCAACTAGATGGCTGATGTTAAGTGATGACCTGGTAAGACATGCAGGAAGTCGATGGATGCAGGTGGCTCACGACCGTGGTTTGTGGCATTAGTTGGGGGAGGCCTATGTTCAGCAGTGGACTTGTGAAGGGCTGTAATGATGATGATGATGATGATTTACATTTTCCCACATCACAAATAGCTTTCTAGATTATAGCAAATAAAATGAGTTTAAAGTAGTTTTGGTAAATAAACTATTTGCCTAAAGACCACTATTATAGATCTAAAAGATTTTTTTGTTTAATTTCTACGCGGACTAAGTTGCGTGTAAAAGCTAGTTTATTTGGGTACTTATCAAAAACTACAAAATGCTTTTTTAATATGTTCAATTTTTTTAAAACACATTATATTATCATTAAATATCTGTATGGAATTTTGCCCTGGGATACTGGATTTTCCAAATTCATTATGCTTATGTATAATTTTTATGATTAGTTGAAACTTGCAACTATATTTTAAACTGACAAAATAACCTTGAAAATATTAGATTTCTAATACTAAAGTGGCAATACAATAATAAAAATAATCACAAAGAAAATTTATAATAAAACCCGAATGAAGAAGAACAATACGGCTCCGTGACGTAGTGACTTACAATGAGTTGCAGCGCTGAGGGCTGCGGGTCCGTATCCTGGACGGAACAAGTACGTGGTAGGTCCCATAATGAATTGGCCTAACTATGAACCAATGAAGGAAATGAAACGAAACCAATTTTATTTTTCAATATAATCACCATGAATACTAACACACTTCTGACATCTGTGAATCAACATCTCTAAACCTTTATAAAAATAATCACATTTTTTATCCTCAAAATGACTGAAGACGACCGCCTGCAACTCTTCATCGCATGAAAATTTTCTTCCTCTTAAGCCCCGCTTTAAATTTGGAAATAAATAATAGTCGGACGGGGCCATGTCTGGACTGTAAGGTGGATGTTGATCTTCTGTGAACCCGCATTGACGAACTGCATCCTTCGAAACACCAGCGGTATGAACAGGGGCGTTGTCGTGGAGCAACAGGACACCTTTAGACAGCTTGCCTTTTCGTTTTTCCTTTATGTTGTCTCGTAATTTATATATTAAAGAAGCATAATATTCGCCGTTCACGACTGTATTACGTTCTTTAAAATCCACCATCAAAATGCCTTGAAAATCCCAAAATATTGTGCACATCAGTTTTTTAGTCGATTGTTGCACCTTTGCCTTTCTAGGGGGCTTTTCACCCTTATAAGGCCATTCCATTAACTCGCGCTTGCTTTGTGGATCATAATACAAGATCATAGTTTTATCATCAGTCACTAGCCGCTCGATCACAGTTTTTGGATTTTCGCCACAAAGATCCAAAAACTCCGAAGCGCAGCGCAGTCTTTCCTGTCTCTGTACCGCTAAAAGAAGTTTCGGTACCCATCTTGCACTCGCTTTTTTCATGTGAAGATGTTCATGGATCGCACGATGAACGGTACTCTTAGAGAGCCGAAGCCTTGCTGCAATTTCTCTAATCTTCAAACGGCGGTCACTCAGAACCTCCTCTTCGATAAGAGCAATCGTTTCGGGAGTGAGCACTTCCACAGGTCGACCGACGTGGCCAAAGTCTTCGACGGTTTCTCTCCCGAGCCGAAACTCTTTCACCCAATTTTTCACTGTGCTATAGGAGGGGGCAGACTCCTTATACACGCCATCTAATCGTTTTTTTATTTGGGCAGGGGATAAACCTTCTTTAAACAGAAACTTTATGACACTTCGATACTCATTTTTCGACATTTTGAAAAAATACGCGACTCTCGTTATTCAAATGCCTGTTAAACTAAGACTAAGCATTTCATGTCGATGCATGTTTCTTATATTAAGTGCACGATAAACGTACAATTTAATGCAACACAACATGTAGCGACATGTCGCGTTGAACTATATCAGGCCAGTTCATTATGGGACCGCCTGGTATATGTATTAACTACAAATAATAATCGATCCGGGTCTGTATGTTTGTTCTTGTAAAAGTTAACTATTGTTGCGCGCTACAGTTGATGCCACTAGCGCCATCTGGTATCAAGTATCAGAAATAGGAGTGTCAAGATCTTTCTAGAACTCCTCCCAACAGTGTCATCTAGTATCGAATAGAAGAATTAAGATTTCTAGAAAAGTCCACACTCGAACTTTCTGCACTTAGTCGGTCGGGACTGGTATTTACTGGAACATTCTGAATGTTTCGGTGAAAAAGGCCTATTTAAGGCCGTTGAGGCCGCGACCGGGGCAGTATTGAATTGGCGATACGAGCGAAGCTTTCGGAGTGAAATAAAGTTAACTAAAGTGTTAAGTGTGAACAATTATTAGTGTGATTTAAGTTTTAATTGGTGTTCAGTAATTAGTGTCAATTTTTGTAATACAATCGGCAGTTTTTATTGTCACGAACCCTAAGTTCGTAACACTATGTTAACTGCTTCCATGATATAGGAGAAAATCCTGGTGGAGGCAACGTTTAAACTATAAAGAAATAAAAAATAATTCTAACATATTAATGGTGGTAACTTGGTTGTATGTAATTTGTTACGGCGGTCGTATATTTACTAATCCCTGATTCAAAACTTGGCTAAAACAGATTTATTAATGTTAAAACAATTAACGATGAATAAATTAAATCATGCTTGCATACATGATGTATTTTTCGCGTGAAATTTTGTCTTTTATTGGGAGTACATCATTAGAGCCATAAGAAGTATGATAAGGATCTAAGAGCAATTCTTTTCCGACAATTTTAGCATGATATCCTGGACCGTAGTCTAAGTGATGATGGAATTACATTGGTAATTTAAAAGCGAGGGGAAAGCAATATTTAAATACCTTCAGATTTTTTTTAATTCTGCCTTCCAAGGTTACTATTCTGAAGGCATAGAGCAGAAATGTGGTGGTTTTGTATGAGGAAACTCAAGGTCGCTCAACGGGTTATGGAGAGGGCTATGTTCGAAAGTTATCATTGTGATTGACTTAGAAATTAGGATATCCGCTGTAGAACCAGAATAACCAACCTAGCCCTATTGATCCTTGTCACATCTATACCGCTAGTTATTGGAATCACTACGTTCGGAATTGTTGACGACTACGAAGTTGTGGTCTCGTTGCGAAGCAAACTCTGAGAAAGCTGATTGATTCCGTCGAAATTTGTGCAATGTTGCAGTTCCTTCAGCGGTACCAAGCCGACTGTTGGTATTCGAAGTACTAACTAACTACAGTAGAGCTATGATGGCTATCCTAGCTTAAGATACCTCGAGCTGTGAAAAGGCTATGCTCAGAGTTTCTGTGCATGATAGACTTCGTAATGGGGACACCTCGTATATAATTACGTGTTAGAGCCATAGTACAGCTATATTATGGTTGTAGCACGAATGGGTCGGCTCGAGCGCGTAAGGACCACGCTCTCAAAGAATACCAGCGTAAAATATCAGCCTTATTCTGTTGTGTTTCGTATGGTGAGTGTAGAGAACCAGAGACCCTTTTTACTGGAAACGAGGCATTCCATCGTAGTCGTCAGGGGTGCCAATGACGTGAGATGTCTATGGGTCACATCATCTACTTAGCATCAGGTGAACTGTGTGCTCGTTTGTCACCGCCATTCTATAAAAAATCTGCAGTAGAAACAAAGTAACGTACAGACTAACATGGTTTAAAAGTTGAAGTGGTAATGAGATGGCTATGTAACTCGAAGAACCGACAGTTGACGGAAGAGAAAGGTTCACTAAGATGGAGTAATGACCTAATAAGCAATGCAGGAAATCAATGGATGCAAGTGGCTCAGGACCGTGCTTTTGTGGCATTCCTTGGGTGGTTAGGCTTATTTTCAGCAGTGTATTTGTGGAGGTCTGAAATGAGAACGATGACGATAAGGGGCCGTCCATTAATCACGTGATGTTTTTTCGTCTTTTTAAGACAGAATCTCGGTGATACGTGGTGAGATTTAAGACTACCCCCTCCCCCGTCCTATAAAGTATAATCTAGTTTTATTCTGAAATTAAGGCCATGATAAAAATGTCCAGACAGAAAGGTTGCAGGATGTTTTTGACTGGCATAAAAATAATATTACAGGAATATGTTAACCATGCGAAAAACATATATTGTACTAGTACGTGAACATATTTAATGTACATTGTCCTCGGACCACGGATTAGCAAGACTTTCTTCAACACTAACAACTGGATAAGCATCTTGCTAGTCAGTCGTTAACACTTCATACGTGGTAGAGCCATGCTGCAGCTATATTAATTGTATAGTTGTAGCACGAATGGGTCGACTCGACCGGGGAAGGACCACGCTCTCACAGAATACCAGCGTGAAATAGCAGCTTAATGCTGCTGTGTTTCGTATGGATATCTTTTTACTGGAAAAGAGGCATTCCATCTTAGTCCTCAAGGCTGACAACACATCTGCATTTTGATTCGCAAACGAGGATAGATGTAGATGTCTATGGGCCACATCAACCACTTACCATCAGGTGGACTGTGTGCTCGTTTGTCACCCTTTTCCTATAAAAAAAATCAGGAAGATCAGCATCGCGTCGGTTTCATCAAGCCACTCGGCGTCGTCATTTTCGTGCACTACACAGAGAATCTCTCTCGATCTACCGATCGATCGTCGCGTGAGTATGCGTAAAGGACGAACATTGTGCATCTCTAGACTATTATTGCTCGGATTAGGTTCATGCTTGTGACATGAATTTACATGTACAGGCGAGTCAGGGTCACATTACACGCCGCTTTTCGGTTTAGAAATCGCGCGTTTGACGAAAAAATAAATACACTTGATAATCTTACTACTCCGCCCTACCCCCTTGTGATATTTCGTGATTAATGGACGGCCCCTAAAGTCTTATTTCAATTTGTTTTATTTTAAAGCCTAGGTCATTAGTATTGTGCGTTCGTGGGGGTGTGTACGTGTACGTTGTTATATCGTTATATCGATTCTTATTTAATTAGGCATGTTCGGAGTTTATGAGCGCGGCGGCCGCGTCGAGTGCTCGAATGTCCCGTGCATTGCAACACGAACGGGAACAGAAGATGCGTCTGCAGGAAGTCGTGGAGCAGTTAGCTAGGCAACACGACAGTCTTGAGAAGACCGTCACAGCCCGCAACTCTCTACACACAGGTAAAGTAAGGATCCTAGATTTACGGTAAAAGTTCAAATATTCAACATCATCATTAAAACGTCCCCAATGAATGCCACAGAAGCACGTTCCTGAGCCACCTGCCTGGCTTACCAGATCGTCACTCCTTCTAGTGGGGGGTCGCCCTACACTTTGTCTCTCGAAAGTTAAAGATAAAATTCTCTTAGTCAGCTGAAAAACTCGGATTGATGCATGCGTTTGTTAGATCAAGAGTCGGCTTTGTGGAATTTTTGAGTATAATTAGGTCCATCTTTAGACTTATTATGTAGGTTGATGGTATGACAAATGCTGGTGATGGTAATTGAACCGAATCGAAAATTCTTTATTTGCACAGTTAATATGTCTTGGGCAAGGGCGAAATTTATGAATGGCATTAAGTTCCTCTTATATGTAATTATTTATACGGTCGAGCTTAATGGCATACCTTATATGGAATTCTATGCCTGCTTTCGCAGTGTGTTTCACAGATATGAGTAGAGAAGCAGCAAACAACTTATTTAGATTATTCGAGAATTATGCATTCAAAATCCATATTATATATGTTATATTATATATATCCATATATTATTACTGTCTATAATAGCCGATTTACACTTCGACAAGTACAGTAGCAAGTTTAGTTGCAGGGCAGTTGACAGTAAACGGTTAAGTGGACAGTAGCGTTCACATGTCTTCGTGGCGAGTTTAGTTAAAAAAAAGTACAATTTTATATTTTGAGAGTCGAAAGTGAACGCATTACGTATTGTTAACGTACGCACTGAACTAAATTCGCTCGTTCACATGAACAGCAAACTTAATTGCGGGTGTCGGGATACCCGCGGGAGGGCAACACTTCGCACTTAACACTCCGAAAAATAGACGGGCCGGCTATCCCATTCAACTAAATTGTTAACTTGCTGCTTAACTCGCTAATTGCCGTTCAAACGAGATTTTTTTACTTAACTCACCAGATTTGCAAGTTAACTCGCTACTGTACTTGTCGAAGTGTAAATCGGCCTTAATATCGCGATAACTGTCTTATATTGAGCAAAGGGGATTATACACATGAATAACCATTTTCAAAAACAGTCTGTCGCAATGAGTGCACAAATTGTGATGAAACTTCACGGGTATATTGTGATTGAGATCGCAAATCCGATACATCATCTAGTATTGTTGCCATATGCTGGTGTTGCTAAATGTCACCTAGCGGCTTTGGAATCAATGCAAAGTCGCTCTAAGAGCTTATTGGTAGCTTCAATATGGTTGGAACTAATCTTTCCAGTCTGCAATCTAACCAATATTTTTGCTACTTTGCACCTGTGCATATTTTTGATTACATTACGGAAAACGTGCATAAGAATTGTGTGAATTAATACCTCAGTTCCATTATCGAACCACCAGGTGCTCGGCTGTGGGTCCCACTCCATTGTTGTTGACATACCACGCATACGAATGAAACGGTTTGTGGCGTTCATAATACCCGCAAATGCTTTTGATGGTGATGGATTTTCTTACGGGGACACCGCATGGTGACGGACAGCAGCATTAAAGGCTTGAAAAGTCTAGCCCTGTGATGGTCAATTCGCCTGCCAAGCTTAATGATTAGATGAACCCTCCCTATAGTAGTCCACTACTGTAGGAAAGGTACACCACTAGACTACTATAGACTGATGAAGAAGAAGAAATTAAATTGATTTTTTATTTAACTTAGACATAAAATTGAATACCACAAAATGGTGATTCGCACTATCACTACAACCTTTCGAAGTTTATTGCTGAATAAACGACTCCCCTTAGATTGCTTTTTACCATAGTTGTCACGTTTGGCGGGCAGACAGTTGCTATTAGGAATGCGCTTCCGCTCATCTACTGATTTGATTCCCTTTGTCGCCTCTTATGAAACCCACGGGAAGATATTCTTATATTAATTGGTTTTAAATAATTCTTTAAAATAAATTATAATAAAGAGAGTATTTTGTTATCGAATTTTATTTGATATCAAGAATACTATATATAACGGGAACAGATGCATACAGAATTTGCCTAATGCTGCGATTTGACTGTGATCTATAAAAACAAATTCAAGACAAATACTGACACTTCTTTATTCCGCCTGTGAAAATAGATTGGCTGACTTCCAGAAAAGATTTAGATTTTTGTCTCTTACAGATACATTATATCATCGTTCACCGTATTTTACCGTGTCATGTCGGTATGAGGTAATCCATCACATCATTTCGTCCCATGGATTGCGTAAAAGTCAACTAAAGGATATACTAGAAAAAGTATGACCCCTGACGTATTTAATGTGATAAAAAGTGATAGAGACATGCTTCGAAGTTTAACAAACAATTTACAAAGACGTGCTAGTTTGTGTATAGAGGGAAACTATAGACATTTTGAACAATTACTGCGATATTGCTAATCTTTATTTGTAAATAACAATAATGTAGTATAACTTTGTACATAGCAATCGGTGTAGTTTGTAAATAAGTTAATTTCGATCTTTTAAATACGTAGGCATAAAAATTATTAATATAAGAAAATGTTTATCAATTTATTATAACGCAAGATACAATTTAACATGTAATTCTACTCAACTACAGCATATTAGATGGTCCTTAGCCCGTAAAAGTATGAAGGAAGATCGAAATCACAAAAATTCTGAAACGAAACTTACTATTTTCTGTTTCACATTTTTTTGCTATTTACAAACATGCGACACGCGATGTCATTACTAATGAAGGAGTCACAATGAGAAGTGCTGCTATTTTAAATCGCTTTCTTTATCGGCCAAGTATTTTACCAACCAGTATATGTATACTGATCTTGCATTAGTAGACAGTAACTGATAGGTTTACTTACTCTGGACGTAATAAGGTCATTGACATTATACGCGAAAAAATCCCCACCAACCAACGGCTTTACGTGCCTTCTGAGGCACGGGGGGAAACACCATCATCTTCCTGATTCCGGGCAGCTATTGAGAATTTTTTTTCGGTTAATTTTTTTGTCCTGACCCCGAATTCGAACCCAGGACCTCATGATCAGTTGTCACACCACTTCAAGCACTAGCCTAACGAGGCAGTCAAAATAAATATCAAAAGTGCCTAAATACTTATAGGAGAAAAATAATTTTCGATAACGTAGGGCGCAGTTAGCTGATTTTAAAATGTTGTCTACAACGATGTCGCCCGCTCTCCTCCCACTAGACCGCCTGGCGCCTCGGACTCACAACGAATCTTTACAGACCGTCTATTTCTGAAAAGAAAAAATAGGAATAACTGTGTTGCCAGGCAGAGTGAATTTACGCATTTCGTACTTTTGTTTAAAATCGGTTAAGTAGTTTAGTAGTCCATCGCGGACAAACAACGTGACACGTAATTTATATATATATATATATATATATATATACAGAGTGTTAGTGTTAGTTAGTGTTAACACCGTTATCCTTGAGACCAGTGGTTTATACAACCATGTACATGTACAACAAATATTATATATATATTCTAGATAGCTAACGCTAAAAGAGTTGCAAGAGGAACATAATGATCCTGACGTTAGATGTCTCTCCGAAACATTTCTAAGGAAAGGAACACCGCAATCAGATCCTAGCCTTTTTAAAAAAAAAATAGGACAACTTACTTTATACTATAGTTACAAAATATAACACTAAGAAGCGCATAGTTTTAGCAGGAGATATAAACATAAATACATTAAAAAAAGGTAAATTCTCTTGTGAGTTACAAGAACTTTGCCACAATTACAACTTCAAAATTCATATCAACGCTCCTACGCGAATGTTATCTTGTATAGCCCACATACTGAGTAATATTCCAAACGCGACAGCAACTATATTACCACTTCATCTCTCGGACCATAACACAGCACAAATGTTAACCTTTCCAGTAAAAAATAAGCTAACATCGGCATCATGTTATATCATTTTTAAGAGAGATTATAACTTAGATTATATTCAAAAATTCAAAGAATGTCTGCAAAACTTATCGTGGTATGAAATTTATGTGGAAACTGACTTGAATAAGGCCTTTAACGCTTTTCACGAATTGATATGCCCTTTTTATTATTTATGCTTTCCAAAAGTAAAAATAAACGGTAGTTGCACAAAAAAAAATTGGATAAGTCAAGGGTTAAAAAAAGTTCTCGAACTAAACGGGTCTTGCGATACACATACTATAAACAAAAAAATACACGTAATAAAGTTAACTACTTAAACTATTCAAACATTTTAAAGAAGTGTATTTATAAATCCAAACAAATTGATAATATTAAATATATGAATAATAGTAACAACAAATGCAAGGGAGCATGGAGAATTATTAGAAATGAAATTCATAACCCGAAAGTTAAGGATAATATAGATACTATTAAAATTGGAAAGAACATAATATCTAATCCTATAGAAATAGCTACTGCTTTCAATGATTATTTTATAGATATGGCCACTAATTATACCTCAACACAAAATTTAAATAAAAAATATGCTTTAAGTAGAAATTCAAGAGTGAATTCGATGTACGAGGGTGGATTGAAAAGTACTCGGCCTAACCAAGAAAATAAACACATACTAAATCAGTTATATTTTTATTTTTCTACATAATCACCATCAAGTTCAATACACTTTTGCCACCTCCCCTTTCAAGCATTTAGACCGTTGAAAAAAAATGATTCTTCCTTAGAGTCAAAATATGCGTCTACAGCTGCTTTGACCTCGTCGTTTGTCGAAAATCTTTGACCTCCTAAGTGCTTTTTTAGGTTAGGGAACAGAAAGAAGTCTGATGGTGCCAGATCAGGTGAATACGGCGGATGCGGTAACAGTTCAAAGCCACAGTTGTGAATTTCAGCCATTGACTGTACTGACGTGTGAACACGGGCGTTATCTTGATGAAACAGGACTTTTCTTCTGAGCATTCCTCGACGTTTTTCTTTTATTTCCTCTCGTAAATGACGTAGTAAGGTGCAGTAGTAATCAGAGTTTATAGT